ATTGGGTATGTGAATGAAATATAATTTATTGAATATCGTCGACGTATAAATTTATTGAATAATTTTTAATTTTATTTATGCATAAGGGCGGTCCAGCTGATCGACGATCACCTCCGTTGAGGGTATCGCCGCGACCATTGGCATAACTTCCGTCGAGAGTATCATCCCCGCCATTGGCATCACCTCCGTCGAGGGTATCACCTCCGCCGGGGCTATCGCCGCTGCCATTGGCATCACCTCCGTCCAGACACCTCCCCCGTGTGTCTCCAGGGCTTAGTGATGATTTGTATGCCCGTTTGACTGGATTTATAGCGGAGGAGGTCGGCGCGCTACGACTAGATTTGACGGAGAGGGTCGATGATCTGGGACGAGAGTTGACAGGGAGGGTCGACGATCTGGCAGGGAAGGTCGACTATCTGACAGGGAGGGTCGATGATATGAGACGAGAGTTGACAGGGAGGGTTGACGATCTATCCCATGATATTGGAATACTACAGTCTTCCGTTGTCAACCTTCAGGATACAGTAGCGGGGCTTAGAGGAGATTTAGCCGGCAGACGATGGGGGGACAGAGAGGATAGCGGAGATCATGATCGAAAGGGTGGCAGAGATGATGATGGAGAGGGGGGTCACCCACATTTTTGGCGTGATGAGACATTGGAGTCATTGTGATTGTCTATGGAGGGGATGGCCCCGATGGAGATGGGAGAGGGGACTACGGAGGGGGTAGCCCCGAAGGGAGGGGCGGAGGAGGTGGCCCCGGAGGTCGAGAGGACACCCGGCGTGATTGAGGGTAAAAGACATGCTGTTGACGAGACGGAGCAGGTGGTCGGCAAGAGGTTGAGAATGCCGGCACAGTATGTTGTTTCCCCCTTCACGGCTGAGACCAAGAGGAGGACGTTCATCGATGGGATGTATCCGAACTTATTTAGAGAGGTGGACAATGCCAAGTGGAAAGCGTTCGAGATAGAGTGGAGGAGAATTATCCCGGGATAAGTATTGTATGATTTTAATAAAGTACTATATGCTAACTCATCTACGCTTATTTTAAGATTTCCCTGTTTTTTACAGAGTTAGCCGCACGATATGTCAAGGACGGTCTCGGACCCTTACACGTGGTTCCACGATATCACCACTGCGGGAGCTTGGCTCGTTGATGATGTAAGTGAACTATTCATTTCGTGTATTTTATGGATATGTGACCTTGTATTTATTAAATGAATAACTCATACTTTTTTGGTGTTTCCTGCTGCAGCACATCGACTTGGCCATGGATTGCTGCGAGATCGAGCTCAAAGACATCCAAAATCATTTGATGTCCATGATCGAGTCATATTAAACACCGAGTTCCTGCGTGTCGTTACCATAGAGTATCAGTCGCTCGAACTTATGGGTAACGAGTATACGGTGCCAGAATATATGCTCGAGTGGGTGATAGGACTGTCACCGAGTGTCGGGGGAAAATCATGGGAGGGTTGTACACATATGTACATTCCAGCGTGCATCAATAAATACTATGTTACGCTGGATATCGTTTTTGCTGACTC